CTGCGCACTGCCCGTTCTTACATAGATAAGTGTTTATTGAAATGTATTCCTTCAAATTAAATACCACACACGTTACATGCCGTCATGGTATGTGTTGTTTCGTCAGAGAGAGAAGGAAATGGAGAGCAAAAGAAAATGTGTGCTATCAGGTGAACAATAATATTGAGTAGAACAACGTAACATTAAATGTTGGTCTGATATTGGCGTTGTCCAATTTTTTAAAGTGCCATTTGCCATTTTGACCTCTACCCAGCCTGTGTACTGATCAAGTCCGTGTACGAGCCGTCAACACACTTCATTTTACAATTTCCGGATTTAAATGTTCATGTTAACATCAGAATTATGTTAACTATTGCAATAAATTAATTTGTCTTCTTGATATTCATGTTCAAAATCTACAAGATTACGAGCTTACGTAGTTACGAGACTTATGTAGTGACCGGATAAGAATAATGTTGTTTGTGTATTACCATGGTCAATCATCTCACAATCGGAAGAATTAAACATTTGGCGTAATATTAATCATAAAGTGAGAAGTCGGTGACTTATGGGATCAGATTATTTCTACTGCCACTTGTAAGCTTGACCTAGACCCAGCCTGAATACCGATCAGGTCCGTAGGTGAGCTTAATGCCCGATTCACTTGGTACTTTATTTGATTAAATGTGCTATTATTGTTATTTTGTTCATTTATCGCCCTATATAAAAATACATAATAACCAATTTAAATAATTATTATGTACAAGCAATGCAGTTTTGATGAATTGCATTCATTGAAAGATGGGCAAATAATAGTACGCCGTATATTTTAAATACATTTATTCTCTTTTTTCCGAGTTTTTTAAATGTTGATAAAAGTATATACAATTGTTTTGTTATAACGGTAAATTTGTCTGCAACCAAATATATATAATTGGGCTATTATGGTTTCAAACGTTTGAAACAATAAATGCCTTATACAGAAAATACATTTTACCGTAAAATGAATACCCTTCCGTATCAAAAGTGTTTTGAAGATATTAAGTTAACTAATGTTAGTAGATTGTCAAGAAAAGAGAACAAACAAAGCAATGTACGTGTGTAATCTTGCATTTGTTTCAATAAGTTATATCCTGTAAAATCCTATCAAATTAATAACACAGCTTCAACGAAATAATGAGCACCAATGTTGTACAACAAATGTTTTCAGAATCCTCTTGTATCAAGTTTAGGCTAAAGCTAAGGTCAAAACAACTTTCCCCCATAGTTATCAATCTGAAATTGACTGCTAGGAATACAACAATAATTTGGTGAAGTTAGCCAAAGTTTGAATGTTGTTCGTCAGAGAGAGAAGGAAATGGAGAGCAATTGAGAATGTTTGCTTGCAGGTGAACAATATTATTGAGTAGACCAATGTAACATTTAATGTTGGTCTTATATTGGCGTTGTCCATTTTTTTAAAGAGCCATTTGCCTGTTTGACCTCTACCCAGCCTGTGTACTGATCAGGTCCGCGTACGAGCCGTAAACACACTCCATTCTACAATTGAATGAGTATTACATGCAGGATTAAATTAGTCCATGGGCCAAGACCAGAAATTTGGGTTATTGGTACCACTCAAGGTGGCAAGATCTACTTATGGATTTTGAAATGTCCTATATCTATACATAATATTTTGATATGATAGCATTTCCAGACTGGCAGCTTAGTCATATAATTAGCAGTTTCCATGGCAACACAACAATAAAACCGGTATTATTCAAAGAAACAGTTAAAGTCATTTATAAATTATAAAAACACTTTTGAATGAGTAAAAATGTACCGTTTAGAATACCTCACCATAAAGGAGAGTAATGAAATGCAATTTAAATCACCATTTATAACGGTTGCCATGGTAACGACCCCAGAATAGCCTAAAATCAAGGATTTTTGAGAAATTTCAGTAATATATTACATACTATACTCATTCAAGACAAGTTAAAGTCTCCTTTCCAAAATAATGACAAAACTATATGACTAAAACATCATATCAGCCAAGAATATGCTACTTAATACCTTCCCATGGTTACCATGGCAACATGAATTAGAGTTAACAAGATGCCCTGTACGGTACTATATGCCATATTTTGGCTATATTTTGGCATTGGAGAGGTGTTGAAAGTTCATTTTGGTGTCTATATCCAGGTTTTCAGGCCCAAAGAATGAAAGTTTAGAATACCTCACGATGAAGAAAAGTAATGAAATTCAAATTACATCACCATTTATAACGGTTGCCATGGTAACGACCCCAGAATAGCCTAAAATCAAGGATTTTGGAGTAATTACAGTAATATGTTAGACAATATGCCCATTCAAGACAAGTTTAAGTCCCCTTTCCAAATTATTGAAAAACTATAATGACTAATCTATCATATAAGCCAAGAACATGTAATAGTACCTTCCCATTGTTACCATGGCAACATGAATTAGAGTAAACAAGATGCCCTTTACGGTACTATATGCCATATTTTGGCTATATTTTGGGATAGGAGAGGTGTTGAAAGTTCATTTTGGTGTCTATACCCAGGTTTTCAGGCACAGGGAACACAGCTAAAGCATTATTTTGAACATTAATATAGGACATCACCGCTATTGTTTATACATTTGCATATAATCAGAGCAAAATGACCATAAAAGTATTCTGCCACTGCATATTACAAGCTGTTTCATAGGGTTTAGAAAGATATAACATTGTGATGACTACATTAGATGCCAGAAAACTTAATTTGATTGAATGCAATGCTGGAACCAGCACAGATTCATCTCATTAAAGGGGAAGTCCACCCTGAAATTAAGTTAGTTTTAAAAGGAGTCGAAAAATGAGAGAAACAAGTCAGTGAAAGTTTGAGCAAATTCCGATTAAAAATAAGGAAGTTAGGATTTTTGAAGTTGTGATCAATCAAACACAAATTGGCAACTCTATGACGTATCATGCGAGCTCAACTTCCATTTGCTCAGTACTAAAAAAATCTAAAATTTTCATTTTCCCTCAAGAAAAATTTCAACCATACATGCACCCTAAATATAATAATTGCAAATATGTTTCTATACTCCCCCTGCAAGGAACAAATATATATTCCGTCATCAATAACGAAGAAAACATGATTTTATGGAATATTATGCACAAAGCAAATGAAGGAGAGCTCGTATAATAAGTCACAGAGTTGCCAATTTGTATTTGATTTATCACAACTTCAATAATTCATAACTTTCTTATTTTCATTCAGAATTTGCTCAAACTTTCACTCACCTGATTTTCTTATTATTCTGCCTCTATCGAAACAAACTTATTTTGGGGGTGGACTTTCCCTTTAATGACCATTTGTTTGCTATTGTATCAAAACTGTGAAGACCCTGGGATGTATATCTCTTGGCATGTTATGCACACTGTGGTCACCCATTGAGAAGATCCCAGGTCGAAATTCCAGTTGATACCAGTTGAAACCAGTAAGGATTTCCAACTGGTATCTACTGGTTTGATCTGGTCTCAACTGGTCTCAACTGGTCTTAACTGGTACCAGTTGATACCAGTTGATACAATTTGGAAACCAGTAGAAATACCAGTTGACATCTGAGACCAGTTGATATTACCAGTTGATTTACCAGTTGAAAACCAGTATGGTTACCAGTTGATTTACCAGTTGAAAACCAGTAGATGATCACCAGTTGATTTACAAGTTGAAAACCAGTAGATGATCACCAGTTGATTTACAAGTTGAAAACCAGTAGATGATTACCAGTTGATTCCAGTTGAAAACCAGTAGATGATTACCAGTTGAAAACCAGTAGATGAGTACCAGTTGAAAACCAGTAGATGATTACCAGTTGATTTACCAGTTGAAAACCAGTAAGATTACCAGTTGATTTACCAGTTGAAAACCAGTAGATAATTACCAGTTGATTTACCAGTTGAAGACCAGTACGAATACCAGTTGATTTACCAGTTGAAAAACCAGTTCAATGTATCTTATGAATATTCATGATTTGCATCTTTTCACAGAAAATATAATTATCATGATCTTTCAAGCAAATGTGACAATGCACATACATTTTGTGATTTACATTTTCTTAGTTAATTATTGACAAATATATTACACATGTCTGATCATGTTTTTCATCTGATTTAAGACGTAAAATGAGATATATTGATATATATGTAATTACTAACCAGAAATAAAGTGTATAAATTTGTATATATGTATGCACGAACAATATTTGTCAAATCACACAATACACATCTGTAATCTACTTCAAATGATCATTGTGATGGGGTAATTGCAAGAGTTAGTATATGTGGTCAAGTTGGTGGCCAGATGCTAATAATGATTATTGATTATCAGTTGATTGATTACTGGATAATCATCTGAAAAATCAACTGGTAATTCAACTGGAAATTCAACTGGTAAATCAACTGGTAATTGAACTGGTAAATCAACTGGTAATTCAACTGGAAATTCAACTGGTAAATCAACTGGTAAATCAACTGGTAATTCAACTGGTAAATCAACTGGTAATTCAACTGGTAAATCAACTGGTCTCAGTTAGCGTTGTTTCAATTTCCATATTAAAAACCAGTTGAATCTACTGGTTTCAACTGGTACCAGTTGACTTACTAGCTGGTTTTAACTGGTACCAGTTGCCTATTGGTTTCAACTGGAATTCCGACCTGGGATGTTTCAAGATGTTGGACTAAGGGACCTATGTGTAGAGTCAGGTGTCATCGCTATAAGCTCCGTAGCTGGAGTGATGGAATTCTGCAAGTACAACCGTGCAGTCAAGTTGTTGTACGAGGCATTTATGCGACATGCATATAGAAAGGCTTTCTACCCTGTCTAGAAACTAACCACACTAACGACCAGGTTCACCTGGATGAAAGCCTCAGAGTCGTGAACAGCCTATCTGAAGATGTTGCCTAAGCTGCTGGCTGTGAGGTGATTGAGAATCAGTCCTTTGAGCCCATCTTCAAGCTGTTTGATGTCTACCTTGATAACCCGATACAGGAGAATCGGACCCTCTCGGCCTTCTGGATGTCATATGTGGACATCGTCGAGGTTATTGTAGGTCTGGTTTGGGCATTTAGAGAGGGTGTCTGGGTGCTGCACCTTGCTTTCATTCGTGCAATGATTCCCTGGTGCTTCGCCGACGACAAACTGAACTATGGCTTTCTTCCCTACTATAGTTATTATGCACATATGTCCTGGCTGGCCAATTGATCACCTAGATGTGCATGAACAATTCATGCAGGGCCAGAGATTTTCTGTTCAACTTGGTAGGACCTCTTTGGCAGAATCCCAGTTGACCAGAAAATTGAAGAAACCATCAACAAGGACATACATACCACTGGGGTGGGGGGGGGGGGGGGAAGACACAAGGCTTCAGCCTAAAACCAGGAGCTGATCTCAGTAGGTACTACCTCAGGACATCTGAGTACAGAGGCTCATATTATTTTGAGGGAGTTGAGAGACATGGTCAGCAGAAACAGTTTACAGCACTTCAATCATCCGACCTGCAACTAAGCCGGATAAGAAAAGATGAGACCGATGTTTGTTAATTTGTGGAACTATTTGAGAATAGCTGAGCTCGAGCCATGATGAAACGGAGTTGGTCAACTTGTCTATTGTATCCTGGCCCCACCAGATATTGCCAATGACCTGCTGAAAGTTCACAAAGTTGGAAAAGAAGCATACCGAGAAGATCGTTTGGAAAAAAGCAACCCGCCACGGTAAACTTGAATGACAAGATGAAAAAAGAGAGCCTGAAGACCTTCCTTAACATCAATAAAAAGCAGGCTGGTTACAAAGCTAAAGGGAATCAGGTAATTGTGAAGACAGACCGATACCTCTTTGGGCGCATGATCATCATTTCTCACAGCAGAGCGTTATATATTAGACAGGTTCTAGCACGTCCACTTGGACCAATACCATGGTCACTGGCAACAGCTTTGCTCTCTGCGCAAGACAAACAGAGCTGGAGAAAATTGTGTCACCAGCAGCTTGTATCATTGATGGAATAAGCCTTCACCATAGACTCAAAAGGGATGGCAAGTCATTTGCACATCTAACAGATGCTGCACTGATGCTAGCTCCGCACGAAGGCACTGATAGTGCCAAGATTGATGTCGTGTTCGATGTCTACAAGGATAAGTCCATCAAGAATGCAGAGAGATGCAACAGAGGTTCCATCGCTGTAACTGCAGTGGAAGAACATTGCACCTTGTCACAACATTTTGCAGTAGTAAAAATTCCTGAGAAACCTTGAAAACAAAAATAAGCCTCATCAAATTCTTGGTCGATCAGTGGAAGCAGCCTGCAGAGAGGGAGAACCTTCATGATAAGTCACTTTATGTGGCAGGTGGAGAAGCACTATGAAGAAATCATAACTCTGAAGACAACACAAGAGGAAGCTGATCGACACACGAATGCTTCTTCATGCATGGCATGCTGCGGAGGATGGATACATATTCATAATAATCACAGCCGAAGACACAGATGTGCTGATAATCTGTGTCTGTATTATCGTGCTCAGTGTCCCATGGCGCCGGCTAAGCCCAGTGGACCCATAACATTTGATTCAAATGACAAGCGGTGAAAATCTCTCGGGCAGCAGAGATTTTCTTTTTAATTTTTTTTCCACTGTGCCCTCATCGTTTCCATTCCGCCTCCATACTGGTTCCTTACCGCTTACAACGTGCTCGTACCAGCTAGCGTCATCGTGTTAGCCTTTCCCTCGCCAGGTCTCACCAGATCCCCACCAGGTACCTGCTGCTTACCGCCCGGAACTCAACCATAAAAGGGCCATTCGCTGAACGTTCGCTTGGTCTTGAAGACGTCACACACGGTATAAAAAGCTCTGTACTTACCCTAGCTACCGGTCATACTTCAGTTCTCGAGTTCATGGATGTACGTCCTCATCGTTCATCTTTGTTATGGACAATTATTCATAAATCTTCATAATTCTTCATAATGCCTACACATGTGGAAGCAGGGGCGGCAGAGCGACTAACAAATTAGAGGGGGGCCAACAAAAAGGGCACCTACAAGGGGGCACTTTATTAAAGTAATAGGTGCACTTGTCAAAATAAAAGGGGCAATTTTCCTATGTACAAAGGGGCACTTCTGGGGTACTTCAAAAATGGGGGGGGGGGGGCACTGTGCACACCAGCCCCCCCCCCCCCCCCCCACCGGAGCGGCGCTTCTACAATGAGGGAAAGTAGGGGAGGGATAAATCTTGGAAGCTCGATCCGCAGGAAACAACAGAGGAAGCATTTTTTATACAGTGAAATATGGAGTCACGGTGTCTGGCACGGTTTCTAAACGGGCACAATGTAAAACATGGCAACAGCTAGGCCGGTAGCCTATTGATCGGGAAGTTTAATATGAGGACGTGGTTGAGTGGTAAGATGACGTCATTATGTCGTTAAGAGAGCAGTTGACCGTTAATGATCGGTGAGCCGGTATGAGGCGGTGGGTCAACGATGAGAGCCCGGCGAGAACCCTTAACGAGGTCGGTATACAGTAACAGCCCGTTTGACAAAATATGACACATCGTCACAGTTCTCACTGCCCCACGAACGGGTCCGCAACGGGCTCGTACCAGCCCACCGTCCTTATATACCGTCCTCTTATAGTCCTCATATCGGGATCTCATCATGGGCCACCGCTTGTACCCACACGGCGAAAGTTTTGGGCATGCCCACAACTTTTGCCGGGTCTCGCCTGGTCTCTCTGGTCACCGCGATCACTCAACGCCCCGCCGCGGTGCGGCGCGCCGTTTGCCCTCATTGTTTTCCACCGACCACACAAAATTTACCACACGGTAGCCGGCGCCATGGGACAGCCACTCTTAAGGAAACCTGCTTTCTGAGAAGTCTGGCTGGACAAAGAACCGCATCAGGTACATTTATGTTTGCAAACTTGCAAGCTTTTTGGGTGAAGATGTCTGCCAGGCTCTTACCCCTGACTTTACTGGCTGCCACATTATAGTAAGTTTGCAGGACGTGGACAGCTGGGTGAGGCTAAAGCTCCTGACTTTCCAGCATCTGGGTGAAGAGTGGGATGTTTCAACAAACATAATTGACAAGATACAAGAGTTTGTGTGTCAAAATGTATGCATACACATCCACAATCTTAGACCGGATCAATGAACTCCGCTACCACCTCTTCTATGCAAAACGAGGATCGAGAGGTAGAATCCAGCCAGCTACCTCCATGCAAAGGCTCTTTGCGCGTGCATGTTCTTTGCGCGAACTACCAGGCTGCAATATGGCGAGGATGAAAATACATGTAGTAGATGTTGCTTTCTTCCTTCTTGTCAATTCAGGATGAAGACAAAGAAAGGTTGTTGCAGACAAAGGAAGAGTCGGTGACCTGTGATTGTGTGTGATCTATTTACCACAAGTCACCAGTATCTAATTGAAAAATAAGCTGCCATTAGCAAAGTCATGGTGACAACTTAGGGTAGGCTTAAAATTCCAGATCACATGGAAAGGACACTTGTAGGTTAAACTCGAAGATGTACTAGATATATTTTACCAGTTACAGCATTTCGAACAATCAATGTAAAGTATCAAAGGCATATACATGTTTTTTTCTGGCTTTGAGAATGTGAATTGATTTGTGTCCAAATGGACTACTTAAATTCTATCACACCTTTCTTGTCAAAGAGAGTTAAACAAAAATAGGAAAGGGAGGATGTGACAAAATAGTTTCTACACTGTCGCTCATAAAGGTGGAATATTTTAGTTTTACCCAATTTTATGGAATTATTTGAAAAATTATTTAAAAATAATAGATCTAGATAATAGTATACATTCTCAGATTTTATTGAATAATAATTTGCCAATGTGTGTATTGCGGGACTGCTAAAGCGTGTGTATGCTTCTATGTTTATTAACTAGGGGACCGACGCCATCAAGTAATAAATGACAGTAGGCCTAATGAGGATTAATGCCCCACAAAAGGGCACTAATATAGCACATTGACACGGTTTTGATCCTGAGGCCTCACAGTTACGAGGCCATTGTTATGTCACTGAACCATGACTGTACGCAGCGGGGGCTAGGGTAGGGGGCAGTTTCCGTAAATTAAAAAAAACACAGAAAATGCAATAAATTTTCAATAATTTATTACATTTTACCCCGGTCCCCAACGTCAACAATTCTCTGGACGGACATGCATTATGGCTCAAAGCATGGGCACACAGAAGATTTGATTTATTATTTTTAAATTCTTAAATTATTTTTAAAATAATTCCATAAATTGGGATTTTAAAAAAATATTCCACCTTTATGAGCGACAGTGTAAGACTTCGTGCACACCGCCTGTAATATTTCTGCCCAAAGAAGGCGTTTGATAAACAGGCACAAATTTTCAGGAATTTATATTTACCAAACAATACCAAACAAATTAATGAGATGAATCTGTGCTAGTTCCAGCATTGCATACAATCAAATGAAGTTTTCTGGCATCTAATGTAGTCATCACAATGTTATATCCTTCTAAACTCTAAGAAACAGCTTGTAATATGCAGTGGCAGAATACTTTTATGGTCATTTTGCTCTGATGTTATGCAAATGTATGAAAAATAGCGGTGATGCCCTATGTTAATGTCCAAAATAATGCTTTAGCTGCGTTCCCTGTGCCTGAAAACCTGGGTATAGACACCAAAATGAACTTTCAACACCTCTCCTATCCCAAAATATAGCCAAAATATGGCATATAGTACCATACAGGGCATCTTGTTAACTCTATTTCATGTTGCCATGGTAACAATGGGAAGGCACTATTACATATTCTTGGCTTATATGATAGATTAGTCATTATAGTTTGTCAATAATTTGGAAAGGGGACTTAAACTTGTCTTGAATGGGCATATTGTCTAACATATCACTAAAATTACTCCCAAATCCTTGCTTTTAGGCTATTCTGGGGTCGTTACCATGGCAACCGTTATAAATGGTCATGTAATTTGCATTTCATTACTTTTCTTCATGGAGAGGTATTCTAAACTTTCATTCTCTGGGCCTGAAAACCTGGATATAAACACCAAAATGAACTTGCAACACCTCTCCAATGCCAAAATATAGCCAAAATATGGCATATAGTACCGTACAGGGCATCTTGTTAACTCTAATTCATGTTGCCATGGTAACAATGGGAAGGTACTTTATAGCATATTCTTGGTTTATATGATGTATTAGTCATATGGATTTGTCATTATTCTGGAAAGGGGACTTTAACTTGTCTTGAATGAGTATATTATGTAATATATTACTGAAATTACTTAAAAATCCATGATTTTAGGCCATTCTGGGGTCGTTACCATGGCAACCGTTATAAATGGTGATGTAAATTGCATTTCATTACTCTCCTTTATGGTGAGGTATTATAAACTGTACATTTTTACGCATTCAAAAGTGTTTTTATAATTTATAAATGACTTTAACTGTTTCTTTGAATAATACCGGTTTTATTGTTGTGTTGCCATGGAAACTGCTGATTATACGACTAAGCTGTCCATTCAGAAATGCTATCACAACTTTTTACACGTAAATATGCCCAACAAACAAAAAAAAAGTACAAAGGTTTTGCCACCTCTGGTGGTACCAATATCTGGTCTGGCCCATGGACTAAATGTCTGTGTTAACTTCTGAATTATGTTAAACATTGGAATAAATTCATTTGTCCCCTTTATTATATTAATGTTCAAAATTTACGAGATTACGAGCTAAGGTACAAAACAAACGCATTTCAACTCAACGTTTTTCAGATTGGCGCAATGGAACAACGATCTGGCTTCTCTTCCATCTAGCCCATATCAATATTGAATAATATTCAGAATTTAAGTTTCATATAATAGGTTTCTAGCTTCTGAGAACATGAGCTATGAAGGAATGTTATCAGCTGCAAAGCAAACCTTAGTGAATGGCAAGCTGTCATATTGTTTGTATGGCTTCCTGTTCAATGTAGAGCCTCTTGATTCCAGCCATCACAACCAAAGGATGAATTAGTTGTCTAACCACCTCCAAAACACTCTACATAAACTATTCCCCAGCCAAAAGGAGTCCCTCGCATCCACTTCCAACTTGGCCTTCTTAGCTAAACCTCAACCGCCTAAGAACAGTATTGCCATAATCAATCATCTCACAATCGGAAGTGTTAAACATTTGGAGTAATATTAATCATAAAGTGTGAAGTCGGTGACTTATGGGATCAGATTATTTATACTGCCATTTGTAAGCTTGACCTGGACCCAGCCTGAATACTGATCAGGTCCGTAGACGAGCTTAATGCCCGCTTCACTTGTTTTTTTTAATTTTTTATTAAATGTACTATTATCATTGTCGACAGCGTAGAAGTGCCATTGTAGAAAAAAGAGAAGTGGCGATTTGTGTCTTCTATAAATGATAACAGTTTACTTTGATACAAATGACTGGCTAAGAATGAAAATATTTTGTTTTGCCTAAAACCTATTATTGTTATTGTGTTCATTTATCTCCCCTATAGAATAATACATGATCACCAATTTAAATAATCTTGATGAATTGCATTTATCGAAAGCTGGGCAAATAATTGTACGCGTATATTTTAAATACATTTATTCTCTATTTTCCAAGTTTTGTAGTTTTGATAAAAGTATATAAAATTGTTTTGTTATAACGGTAAATTTGTTTGCAACAACATATCAAAAACGAGGCTATTATGGTAAGAACGTTTAAAACAATAAATGCATTATACAGAAGATATATTTTACCATAAAATAAATACCCTTCCTTATCAAAAGTGTTTTGAAGATATTAAGTTAATTAATGTTAGTAGATTGTCAAGAAAAGAAAGAGAACAAATAAAGCAATGTACGTGTGTAATCTTGCATTTGTTTTAATAAGTTTTATCATGTAAAATCCTATCAAATTTATAACACGGCTTCAACGGAATAATGAACACCATTGTTTTACAACAAATGTTGTCAGAATCCTCTGGTATCAAGCTTAGGCTGAAGCTAAGGTCGTACGGGTCAAAAAAAACCTTTCTGAAATCGATTGCTAGGAATACAACAATAATTTGGTGTAGTTTGATAGGTAGCCAAAGTTTGAAGTCGTTGTATGAGCCTCAAAATGTTGAAATCCTATTAAAGTTGACCACGGGTTTTTAATAAAATGTTGGCGCTTAGTCCTCGGTGAAATAAGAGTATTACATAGTATATAATTTACATCGGATATTTGTTATCGTTTATCGTGAACAAAATTCCAAGGTCGCAGAGTGAAGTTCTTATCCAACATTTTCAAATGTCATGTGGTACGCACTGTTCAATTCTCTGTCTCTGTCTCCTCTTACACTAGTGTATGTTTCTCTGATATCTTAGGTATATATTTCATTCAAATTTATTATAGGGTATCCTAAATTCAACCTCACAGAAGGCAAAGAAGGATGAAACTATTGGAGTGCGCATACAATTATTATCTCAACGTATTTAGGGTAGTTGCATACGGAATCGCTAACAGGAAATAAAACTCATATACAAAAATGTTATGCTAATGTAAGTAATTTATTTTCATACCGTACTCTGTAGATTCATAACACAATATTATATTACAGCATTTCCGTTGTAGCATATGAAGTGCAAGTCTGAGTATAGATTATAATATATAGGTGTTACGAATAAAAAGCCGAAAATCTTTAGATACACCACTTTCTTATTAAATGTTCTTAATCCTCTTCAATTCTTCCTATTCGTATTATCATTATTTGTATTATTAATATTATTACTTGTATTATTATTATAACTTGTATTACTATTATTATAATTGTTTTTATAATGCTCATTTAAATTAGTAACAGTGTGTATTATTATAATTTATCATTATTGTTATAATTAATATCACCATTCTTTTCATGATTTTTAGAATTCCTGTTTTCCCTGTATATTAAATAAACCATTTATGAACGAACTGCGTTTGATTATATACAACGTTATACAAATGAGGGCATTGTGATCTACGCTTTTTAATTATTTGTATTATCACTATTGCTATTAAAATTACCATCGTCATTAAAAGTATTAGTATCATTATCATAATTATTATCATTATTTTTATTATGATTACCATCATCATTAACATTATTTAGTTTCATTATCATCATCATTATTATTATCCTTATCACCACCTTCATCGTCATTGTTATATGATGTATGTATGCTTTCATATTTAACGAGTCAGAAGAAAAAAATGCAAGGTAGTTTTGTCCACAAAATTGTTTCCAATCGATTCCGGATATGTATACAGTCATATTTAATTTGTCACCTCCTTATAATAGCACATCTTTTGTCAAGCTTGATTGACATTTATTTACATAAAAATCAACATAAAAAATACAGGGACAACACTTATTCTTCTTAATATTAGGTTATAACTGATAGGGGTACAATTCCATGATGTTAACAATACGCTAATGACGCTTAAAAAAACAAGCATGTGAACAATCTATTTGTATGTATTTATTTTTCTTGAGAATATGACATATTAAAGCTTTTATTTCACACAAATTAACAAAAGCGTTATTTCAACCAGGCCTACAATTCTTGTTTTACGAAAAACAAAGAACGCATCAAATTTACAATGGCGGTAAAAAAACATTCATTTTTTTCTTAGTGAAAGTTAAACAATTTATAGCTAGATGAACGGACTTAAATGAAAATTGAAATCGAAATTGAATTCGACAAAAAAAATGATTTAAAGTAATGAAAGTATTAGACCTAAGTTTTGTTTTGTTTTGTTTATTTTCATTGCAGATATCTCTTTGGGTATTAATGAATTACATGTGTATTAAATTAATCAATGAGCTGAATATCGTACACTTTGATAATAACCTGGACATGTAAGTTGAAGACAGAAAAGTATTCACATTGTGAACAAATACATGTAGAATCATACTGTACAAATTTGATATCTATTGTATGTAAAGCGATAAAGGTTTAACCTCGTCTTAAATTAATCTCAATATTTATCATTTGGTACGCGAGAAAAAATTGTGTTTTTCCTATTCTTACTTGAAATATGTAGAAATAAAATAAACAAGAACGCTAATAAACATACATTTTATTGTAACACAAATCAGTGGTGAATTTAAGACAATAATTCGTCCTTGTTTTCACGAAGTGACGGTAGTGAGGAAAATCTTAACGCAAAGTGAATGCAATTTTTTTTCACTACCGTCACTTTGTGAAAACAGCGACGAATTAATGCATTATCGGGTAGGAGAGGAATTGTTTGCTATTTCCATATATTGAATATATGTATAATTTAGTAAGTAGAAGGGAATAACTGCGTGTAAGAACTTCATACATTTGACGATAAAAGAACATTAACATTGTAACAACTGAAATTCAATACAAAGATTATAAGGCGAAGGCGCATGTTCCATGTTCAACTGAACATTGTTTACAACTAAACAAAAACAAATATTAACATGATTGGTACAAAAAAGGGAAAAGCAAGCTGAATCTAACACTGATAGTGATTAGCTGTTTACATTGTCGAGGATAAAGTAATCAAACTGGTTTTTCGTAGACTTCATAGGCTGGAATGTGATCTCCATTTTGTTTGAGATATGGTTCGACATAGAGTGACTGTTCACCAGCAACGTAGTTAGCATATCCTTCAGGAACGTCTGGAAGAGGTCCTCTGGATCCATTCTCATCTTGAAGAGCGTCTTTCGATGATGTTACCAAATCGTATCCACGACTGTGATTATAAAATGAAATTAGAACAATATTGTATTGGAATCAGATTAAAGTTTCTATTTTTATTTTCATTCGATCGTTTTATTTAGAACTTTGAACGTCCGATTTATTCATGCAAGTGTTGCATAGCATGACCATTTTGTTCTAACCAAATCTTAGGCTCTGTTAATTCATTACGAAGTTTATAAGCATTTATTGAAAAGTCTATCAAATTTAACACTTTTATCTACTTTTAAAAATCTATCTTTACCGTATTACAGAAAGAAGCTGCCTGATTATTTCAACATTATTTCTTAAATTATCTGACCGAACAAAGATAGTGAAGACTTTTCTTACAGCGGAGTACATTAGTGGTTAAATAATTTTGTTTATCTTCAAGATGTTACCTAAGATATAATGATATCATTAAACCATCCATAGCCTGATTGTGAGGAAATGCTTGGTACAAATAGTGGTAGTTTAAAGAAATCCTAGGTAAAGGAACAGGGTTAATGTTAGACGCGGTTAAATTCCTGTCATCAACTGAGAACTGCTTTTAATTACGGCCTTAATACAATAAAAGAGACATTTTGCATAAATAAAAAACAATAACGAAAATATTTACTTACTTTCTCATGAAGATAACAAACACAGCCATACACATCAGAACAAGGATGAATAAGATGACAGCTGTGACCAGAAGACCGGTGATAAAGTAATCCCTTCCATCATGGTCAATATTCGGTCTGGTAAAGCGCCCCGGGGATGAAGGTTGTTGCCCTGGAAAAACAAGTAATTTGGTTATCAGCAAAGACCGCATTCATTTTTGTATTAATATACATCTTTGTATTCACATTTAGCATTTGCATTTGTACTCGTATTCATATTCGAACTGGTAATTATATTTTGTTTTTTCGTATTTGCATTCATATTTGTACCCATATTTCAATTTACATTTGTTTTTTGTATCTTTATTTCAGATATCGCTATTTTTGTTTTAACGAACATGCAGCCAAGTCTGGTACCAGAATATCCCGTTTTATCGGATATGTTTAAGTGAATAATTACCTTCAGGTGATGGATTAGTACGAGAGCATTCAAAGGGAGGCCCACGCCACAAGCCATCTCGTTGACATTCCCAAATTAAAGAAACAGAATCGTCGTTACATGTGATGTTCACTTCGTCACCATTCTTGTAGCGAGGCTTAACATTTCCAATGTATGCGTCGACAGAGATGATTGGTTGATTGCATTCTGCAAATGAAGTATTTTTAAATGAGAACAAACTGATTTATCGCGATTATAGTTTACTTGTAAAAACAAAGAAAGGTGGAGAATATTCAAAATCAACAACTTTTTCGGAGGCTTTACATTCATTACAGCACAGTAAATATTCAGGGAAGCATCTTGCAAGCGCTATGAGTTGCCAATAAAGCGCACATCTTTGGTTATTAAGAATTAAACTACGTTTCGATCGAAAACGAAGAGACCCTAGTCATGGGTTTTACAAACTACCCTACACCTCCCTCCCCCCAAAGAAACGACAGAATGAGCCTTTTTGAAGGGCGCTTTAATTCTTTACATGAAATGTTAAAGAAAATTATCACATTGCCTTGCATTCTCGTGTCATTTTAGTGTAAGCATTTGAATACCGATTTATTTTTAATCAATGTTGTTAAAAATAAATAATAATTGAGTCTTCTTCTTTTAATTTGTATTGCCCGAGTAAATGTCACGCACTTATTTATACATGTTCAATGATAGACAAATGTGCATAGATGTGTTCAAATGACATCATTAGCGGGATGGGATTCGATCCCTCAACTCTTCGATTAAAAGTCAAATTAATGAAGCCTTATATCACGAAACATTTACATCTTTATCGTAACAAATCTATATACGACCGGTAGCTTTTATTCCGTTATGGTCATTTCAATGTATGTCTGGCATACCTATGGCAGGGACGGGGCACACTATGTTTTGGCCTGTCCATATTCCATCCTCACATGTCACGCCGAACCACTCAGGGCCCTCGTTACATGTCACGTTCATCCTGTCACCGTCTTTGTATGAGAGACGAAGATTCTGAATGGTTGAATCAATTGGCACTGCTGGGGCAGTGCAGGAGTCAACTGATGGAGCAGGAGCACCTGCGAGGACAAATGAAAAGAGGTGATGAATATTTTAGGAATTTTTAGAATATGCATATTGTATTAGTTTTTATAAAAACCAATGATAATAATAATTTTAAAACAGGGTATAAAAAAGGAGATTTGACTCTCTCTCACGAATAATTTTAAGACTATTCTAGAGCGATTTTGTATTACTCAAAATATTGACAATATCGATTGTACATTGAAAGGGGAATTTGAGCCTTTTAGAGTGTATGACAGCAAAACATTAACGTATTGAAAAATATTAAAATGATAATGATTAAATTCCCCATTACTTACGGATATGATCATATGAAACAATATTGCAGGTCTGATTTATATTCATCAATAAAAGGGATTTGACGAAAAGTTATGAAACGCTGTGGTTTTGATGTTCTAAAAGTGGTACTAAATGATTTATGATTCATTTCTGAAATATTTCCTTTGAAAACAGATTCAGCTTGTATCATATTTTTACAGGAACTAAGAGGAAACCTTACTCGTTGGTTCGGGACAAGACGCAACCGGTCCGCTCCACAATCCTTTGTTATGACATTGAAGGGGGAAGAAAGCATCACTGGTATTACACGTCACATTCACAAGGTCGCCAAAGTCGTAATTCAATTGGAGATCTTCCACCATGGCATGATGAGGCATATAGGGAGCACCACATTTTATTGAATCTGAAAGAACAAACAAATTGATAGAATAAAGTGATTTTGACAATTTACGCCATTTTCTTTAAAAACTGGTCACCCTGCCATTACTTTAGATAAGTAGATCAGGGGTTCATTGCTAAGAAGTAAATTGAAGTCAAGAAGGTTATGTTCATTATTATTAAAAAGATACATCGTGGTTATGAAGATGATTATTATAATTATTATGAACAAATTAATAAAACGAAGAGTGAGAAGACAAGCAATAATTCATTCAAAGCTTGGAATGGCTGTAACAGAAATAGGCTGTGGGAGTGCAAACATGTTAGTATGAGTGTGTAGCGGGGAAACATGACATGTAAAGAGTAGCTAAACAGACAGAACTGCTCAAAAAGAAAATTCACTATGACACAAATAAAAAACATTGCATAATTGAACTTTCATATCCTGACAAAATGTTTTTGCATTCATATTTTAGAAGATCCATATCAGCATGGAATTAAAACTTGAAAAGCGCATCAAGAGATTGAAATTTATTTCGAAAAAATCAGAACTAAGGTAAATATAGTTTAAATTAAAAGATCAATACTCCAATATCGAAACCTCTCAATTGATATTGCATGTTAAGATCGTGTCAACAAAGTAATCAACTCCTTTATTTGTGTTATTCTGTTCACGATTCCTGAAAACTTGACAATAACAATATGCTGAGCAATATCAACGTTTTGTTTAAACCAAGTCTTCAAAAAAATAAAAATAAGACAACCATATGCTTCAATTCTAGAGTAGGAAGAAGATAAGAAAGAAATTCGGCAAGAAAGGCAGAATAAAAATAAATCTGTAGATACAAAATGGAAATGTTAGCTTAGTCAATTGCAATATAATATTTTGAATCGTGTGTATCTTTACATTTAATTTCGTTTTTCTTGATCAAAAACGTTGCAAGTTTTTAATTCATTTCTGAAACAAAACGTTCCTGTTAATTCGTTAATTTTCACTAATATTTTTCGGGGTGTGATTTGACACAGAATGTATCTGAGTTTAATTTTAAACCGATATTAGTTAACATATACCACAAGTCGAGCCAACGTTCTACCCTTATCGACTTGCTCCTTTGATTCAAAGGAATCTGGAAAAATGGGCTCGAGATATTGGTCAATCGTGGGGATGATTTACAGACGTTCTTTAGAACATGGTAGGCATAGTTGTATTTTGGTATTGGGTATCAACACATTCCCTTAGAAAAAAGAAATGACGTCACATATTATCAAAATACATTTACCAATTTAATCATGGCCTTTTATAGAAACGTACAGAGATATCATCAGACTTTAACACAATCATGAGTTTAAAATGGAAAACTTTATTATGTCTCATCGTTACATCGGACTTTTTCTTACATTTTAATAATAATAATGTAATTATTACAATATTTTGATTTGATTTGATTTTATATTATTTTCCACTCAAATATCCACAAATTAAATGACATATATAAACTATACAGTAATACAAAATATAATAGAACAAATGAATTATAAAAGTAACGAAATACTGACAAGTATGTTCGTAATCAAATAAGTTTACCGAATACATTTAAGTTTGAGAATTAGACAAAATAGTTTATATTGCTTGATTTAACTGAGAGGGGGGGAAGGGAATCTCAGAAAATCTAGACTTGTTGAGCGAGATTCCCAGTATAAATTAAATAATGGACCATCAACAACGTGCATCAAATTCTTCACATGTCCGCTCCCAGAGAGACCAGAGACGTGCGAACCCACCCGCCCGCACCAGATTCCCGGCTCACCCCCGCCAAGGCCCATTCAGCGTACATGAGTCTGCCGTTGCCAGGTCGAACACGCTCAAGGTCTGTCCGACATATTAACGAGCAACATAAAATATTGCGCACCGAACAAGCCCCGACAAAAGAAACACAAATATCTGGCATAGGCAGCCGAACCCACGCGTCCGAAGACTCTCCTAGAACAAACACGCGAAAACCAGACAACACGCCGAAGATGGTCCAATAGTATTTTGTACAAGCGTATAATGAACAATGATTACGCGAAGCTCACGATCAAAAATCACCATCATTTCTTGGGCATGGTTAGTATCGACTTCGTTACAAATTATACATTCCATACGTTCCATATACTCAAATAACCGGTGGATAATTATAACTAAAAAAACAAAAAATCAATGTATTAAGCCCTAAATGTGTGTTCTTAAGCACCACATTAATAGGCAATAGTGACTATGTTGCCCAGTCGATGGCTTTTTAAGACTTTATATCACAACGAAACACTTTGAGTGAAAATAACATTAAAAGTAGTTGTGCATTGAAAAAGGACAGAAGATTTTTTTTTTTTTTTTTTTTTAGCTCTTTGACTGTTCAAATATGTGACTGAAATACATTTTTTTCTTCTTACAAGTGAGTATCTTATAATTTACCTGGAACAATTCAGCCAAAGTTGTCCCTTTTTAATAAGAATTACGCGGATTGTAAAAGACAAATATCTACAACATTTGTGTCATTCATCCAATTTTCGGTAATGGTTAAAGCTATCGATTCATAAATTCTTGATACTGCGGTACGCTCCTCGAAATTGTCTTGGAGACCCATATTCATTTCAGATCCTCTAGTTGCATTGCATAATGTTTGGTGTTTTTTTTTTAATTTAATTATATACACACAAATAATATTTTCGTCGATGCAGTACCCTGCATTTCACACTTTGATATCACAGATGTTTTTTATCTGAATTCGAAAACCTGGCGGACAGCGTGGAAAAATAGCTAATGTAGGATTGCAAACAGAAATAATTAACTAATTGTCCTATTTTTTCAAATGTAAAATGATGATCCGAACTGTTCGAGTTCAATGGAAGTATAATTTATTACAAGAGCATTACTTCGCAATAATTATATAGCGCGGTACATAATGAGTTGCATTGCCCTTTACATACTTCTACTACTACTACTACTACTACTACTACTACTACTACTACAATAACTACTACTAATAATGATAATTTGGTATGGTATTTATTCCATTCTTCATAATAGCTATAATAATAAATTTTGTTCTAAGATACACAAAATATACTTTAAAAAGAATGACATAATAAAGAAGATCTACAAACTACTTTACAATAAGGATGCATTAATAAGATTAATATAATCGAGCTTTAATATCACATTGCACTGAGAGGTAAAGTCGGACGAGAAAGTATTTAATTCACTGTACAGTGAAATAAATTAAGGGAATAGGCATCACAGACGTCAGTAGGTGGGTTATTCCAGAGTTTGGGTGCGATTCTAAGAGAAGGCGTGGTCTCCATATCGAGTGCATGGGCGGGGTCCTGGCGTCTGATCAAGGCGTGCATGGGACGTGGATGTTAGTCTAAGGGAAGAAGTGAACAAAGCGGGAGAAAATAAAGCAGTGAAGCTTGCCGGAGCTAGAACATGTTAAAAAGCTTTGAATGTTAGGAGCAGGATCTTAGATTTAATTTGTTGTGCAATTGAAAGCCAGTGAAAAGTCGGGGTTGGAGTTATATGTATCATATTTCCTTTATGCAAATCGTGTATTCTACTATTATCATTTATCATGTAATACTAGATGTAAACTATGCCACATGCCTTTTCGGCAAATGTGTATTATAAAGTGTACTTGGGTCTAATGCACTCGCCTTTTCCCGAATGGAAAAACCAGGTGTAAATAAGCTATCCAACATCACCCTCAAAGATCAAATCCCCATAAATTAGAAAAAAGCCCTAAACAAATTTAACCTAATATCTTTCGGTGTGACATCTTGACATGAGATAAATTAACAATACGATTATACGGTAGATATATCCTTTCATATAATCTGATGAGTGTCCAGCAGAAATGAAGAGTGCCTCTTGTATCTCTAGCCCTAATGCTACTCTCTTTCTAGAACTGAATTTAAAATATTTATTGAGACTTAACCTTAATTTGAGTATTGAGGATTACTCAAGGTGAGTATAAAACTTAGACTTCAAACAAGTTTGTCGTCTAGCTATAAATCTGTGAGGGCTTACAACTTATCGCCAATCGTACTGTCCGTATATGATGTCATGCATTCAAGCGCAGCCAAAAACTATTTTCGGACTGAACAAATATAAAATTTAACCTGAATTTTAAATATGATATATATATATATATGTATATATATGGGATATAAATTACGAGACTTAGGATTTAACTCCACGGTTCGTCTACGTTTTAAAACTCCCTCGTACTAAAACTATTAATCTTTAGGACTTGAAAGTAAGTCTAAACAATTAAGAAGGTAGAAGACTCCTTGGTAAGGCTAACACTTCAAACCTAGGCCTAATATAACTAGCCTATGTATAAGATAAACCTCGATCATATCTACACCTACAGACTATGCATCTGGATGTACATCTAGATCTCGTGTGCAAGGACTAGATCTAGGTCTCACCTAGTTTTAGAATCTACATACAAATTAACGCTTTGTTGTTAATCTCAATCAGAGTTGAATTGGTGTATAAGATTGACCTCCTTCAAGACAGTCAAGCCATACCTTATTAGTTTCTTACCTGTTCATTGTTTATTACTTGAGCTGAACACAGTCTGAAAGTTAGTCATCGTCTACTAAACTCGAGCTGCGTTTACACCGCAACCAAAAATCTTCTGTTTGTCTCAAATTCCGGTGTTTCACAAAAAGTTACATAGCAACTACTGCCAATCGCAATAAATCTAAATCGAAAACCCCACCTCTGGAGTATTTTTTTTTTAAACACTGCATTGCAAAAGCAATTTTTCGGTGAGATGCCCGTTTTTCGTCACGTGACTCTGCAAGGCATGTAGGGCACCGGCGAGTTGTTCTTGCACACAACTCACCCCGAAAACGGTATGAGCAAACTTTGACGTCAAATAGTTATAATTGAGAGTAAAACAAAATCGACGATTTCTTCAAATGGTCTTTTTGATATGAAAGTGGGCCTAAGTGATATTTTCAAGGCCAACCGAGTAAAAG